ACTTGATGAATCATATATTACTATTCCTTTCAACGTCCTCACGGAATAAATAATTGTGATATTTGTACGGACTTATTAAATACTAATTTAAAATATATGTTAAAATAAATTTAACTGCTGTGTTATTTATTTGTTTATTTATTATAATAAAATAAATTCTAAATTCCACAACATAGACCACCAGACCAAGGCACAAGAAAAAACTATAAGTTTTATCACTAAACTATATAGTTAATACATAATTCTTGGTTGAAGGCCCCGGGTCTTTTCTAGAGTTCTACTGCATTTCCACTATGTAGTCATAGCTTTTTTAACTCTTACCTAAATATGTGATTTTCATCTTAGGTTATTATCTAGGATAATATCTAAGTATTTCAACTCTGATTTAGAGCCAATTTCTTGTCCAATTAGGGTAATTGCTCCTCGCCCTGAAGTAATGCCCAACAGCAGTTTCAGGGCGGCCCACAATTAGCCGGTTGTAGAAAAAAATAAAAGGGTATGTGCTCCTAGACTATCAACTTATGTTCTACTTCTGGTAAACATAACTACCTCTGTTTAGTTTCATTTGACAGCTAGACTATACTTATTACGTCACATTTGTATAGTGTTCAGTCTGTGCTGTGCCAAGTTTATAATTGTTTCTGGGAATTTACCCATTACTTTTATAGCTAAGTCACCTAAGTCATCCACATAGGCTTTTGTATAGTAATATTTGTTTAATTCTTTGATAAGTTAGTCTAAAACTAGACATTATAGTAAAAGAGATAAAACACCTTCTTGTGGGAATCCTTATTTAACACTCTTAATTACTCTGTTTTCATTGAGCTGTCTCTCAATGAAACGTTCCTTAAGCATATTTTTTATCCACCTAATACTAATTGGTTCTCTTCTATGCTGTTATTCAGATTAACACATAGATTTAAAGGATGTATTATTAAAATCTCCTTTAATGTTCAAAAATAGTCCTATTGTTTACATTTTATCATCTATAGCTTTCCCCAATCCATTAGTTAAATTATGTAGAGCATGATTGAGTTGATGTTGATTGTAAAAGGTACGACCAAAAATAAAATAGTTGACAAACAAGTTTAAGGGAAATTCAAAATAGCTACTTTTGTATAAAAAGTAAACCTTTTCAACTTTATTTTTAAAAATATTCCAGAAATAATGCGAGGTAAAAACATATGTGCAAATTATATTACATAGTTAAAAAAAAATTTCCCCGAAATTTCCCTGGTTATATGCAAATAACCGTCGAAATCTAACAAAATATATTATTTTCATGTAAAAAATTGCAGTCATGTTATAATTTTCTATTTTTTCAATTATTTATGCTTATATCTATACTGTTTAAAAAAGAAGATCAAAACAATTATTTAACCCCTTATTAAATCAAAAATATAGTAATTATAAGGTTTAAATGTTAGTTATACAATTTTTCCTAAAGAATTTATGCAGCTTAGAATGTCAATCCAATAATTTTAAAAGATACTAAAAAAAATGTTTTTGCTATAAAAATTAAATTGTCCTAGGCTTATCATATATTAGAATTTTAATTTTATGAATGAAATAATAATTATCTAACCAAGGTCAAAATAATCAAATTACGAACTTAACTATTTTTGTAAAGTTAATTTTCTTTTTTTTTGATAAATCCATACTTACATTTTTCATACGTGTTTTCCATAGAAGTAACTAAATATACAATATTTCTGTAAGAATGTGTCAAGTGAGAGTTTAGGATAAGAATGGCCAACCCCGAGTAGTTGAAATAAAGGCGAGGAAAAAGAAGAAGAATAAAGACTTTATTTTTTTATAATTACTCCGTGAAAATTACAAAATAAAATATTAAATATCAATTTCCTACTAATTAAAATTGGACAATTTCCCCTTATATAGGGGGCGTTCAAAACTTAAAATATTGTAAAAAACATAGATCTTTTTCAACTGAACTTTTGAAAATGTTCCGGAAATACTGCGTCCTTTAAACATATATCAAATCNATACTTAGGCATTAAAATTAAAAAAACAACATATTTTTTATTACTATTGAAATCGATTTTATTTGTTTATTTAAAAATTGTTGATAAACTCTTCGACATACAGGAAAAAATTTCATATAAAAGTTGCTCAGAATATATTTTTTTATTATTTTTGTTAGACGTTTTATTTTTTTACCAAGCCTAATTCAAATTTCCACAATTTAATGTGTGAAAAAAAAATTTTTTTTTTAAATATAAAACAAAGATAGACAAAATTAATCTATTAAAATTTAATTAAGTAATTTTACGTTACTAAAAATAAAACATTTCTAAATTATAAAATTAAGAAGTATCAAAAATATTTTTCTTACTATATAAAAATTGATCACTTATGGCTAATTATTTAACATAAAAATATATTTAAAATATGTTTAATTTTTTATTTATATTATTATTTTAAGAAAAATTTAGAAGCTAATATCAAAAAACTTGCTCTGTACTACTTTCTATGAAGTATTTATACTATTAATTTTCAAATAAAAAAAAAATAAACGCATAATATTTATCCTTTATTATAGCTGTATTTAAAAAATTACTGTCGCTGTATGACGCAACTACTCGAACGACAATTTGCCGAATAAAGTTTTCGTATGACGTATTACAGTTTAGCAAACTGTAAGCAAAAAACTATAGACACTATGACTCTTTTGTTAAAGGAAGGAAGACACACACTTATGCTTGCTAATTTTATTGAAAAACTAACCAAAAGTGAATTTAACACATAAAACATCAAAATACACAAGCCAAACAGTGTTCCGACTAGAAATGTTAAGTTCGTGAACGAATAGTTCATTTGAACTATTCACTTAGATGAACTATTCTGAACTGTTTCAGTACCTGTAACTTAACAGTTCACAGTTCAAAAAAAAATTTTTAACATTATTTACTAGTAGCATAGAAAAGATAAAAGTTTATTTTAACTATGCTAGTAGAGTTACAAAATAGCGTTTCAGATTTAAGAAGCTCTCACTATTAAATGATTTAATTCAAACATACGGCAATCTTTTTTGAGACTCATTAAAAGCTTAGGCGGTAAACATTGTTTAAATAACTAAAAATGAAAAACAAAACAATATACAAATAAGATAACTAAACTCCGTGAACGATAGTTACCGGACAGTGATGTGTGCAATGCGGCGCAGCCTACAACAAAAATGAATGAGCAAAACCATAAAATATGTCTATAAAATGAATAACTCAAAGATTTTTTTCTGACAACTATAGCACGAAAAGAAAACTCATTATAACCTTGAATATTTTAAATTTATATTACAACAGCTGTGGCTGACAGCTGCTGTTGATAAGATATACGGGGATCTCGTTAGATTAATCACACAAACTGAACTCGTACACACCAGTTTAATAATTGATTACTATATAGAATAAGATCAGTTATTTCTTTCTCTTTTTTTTACTAAGTCTAATTCTGCGGATTAACAAAAATATCTTTCTAATATATCTATTATTTTTGTCAATGTTTTTTTTCGATACCGTCACCGATAACATAAGTTGCATACTTAAGTTTATTTTATTAGTTCTAACCATAACTTTAAAAGATAAGGTCGTTGTACTCAACCTCCCTATACTCTGTTTTAATATTTCCGCTTATTGAGTTTATCAGCTATAAAATATCTTATTATACAATAAAACAATGAAAAATTAGCCAATGCTGGAAATATTACTTAACGACGTACGATTTTCAAAAATTCTTTTTAAATGTAAGAGCTTAACGACGTTATTTCAGGAAAATTATTTGCTAAAATAAGAAAACAATTTTTTAGTACACCGTGAGCGTTTAAAAATTTTATCAAAAACACTCATTGCCGCAATTTTTTGATTTAAATTCTGAAAAAAGTCTACGCGCATAGTTTTTAGTCTAGGCAAAGCTAACTAAGAAATCATGTAAATTATTGTCAATGAATAATACATACACAGAATTTCAAAATATTCAATTATAATAGTCATTGAAAAATAGTTAATGCTATAAATTGTATTGAAAAATGGAATCATTATATCAACCTGTGTAGTCATCAATTGTTTACTTAAACAAAATTTGTCGCCACGAGACTAAATTTAAATACTTATAGAAATCGCTTTTAATACCATAGTTCATAATTTTAAAATTTTATAACTAAAATTATTGAAACCAAAACTTGTTTCGATCCCTTGTTTTTATTAGGCATTGATTATTAAGAGTTCCATGGATTTTTATTGTAGTAGCGGTTTCAGTGAGTAAATTTTTTAAGTTTTGTAACCGTTTTTTTGTTTTGGTTCCAATCCCTTGTTCAATAAAAATTAATAAGCTACACCCCAATTGTTTTCTGCTCGTCATTCTTAACTAAATTATGTTTTTTTTATTAAAAGTATAAAAAAAAATGAAACCCATCGTTTCCAAAAATTTTTATTTTTGTGTTAAATGTTTGTGCATAGAAAAATGGAATCATACAAATTTATACAATTTATACAAAGAGCAATATCTTCATATAGAAATAATTTAAAAAGACGACGTATTGATTGAAATATTAATAATAATCAATATTATTAAGCTTTCGAATTCGCATGAAACTAATATTTAATAAAATATCCTCAAATTGGTTTTTACTTTACAAGAAATGATAGATTATTACTATAAAAGTAAAAAAACACGTACTTATTATAGGATTAATTTCAGAGACAGGAACCATAATTAACAATTGATTATAACGAATATTAAAATAAAATAGTAAATATAACCATGCCTTAGTTAAACTAAAATTGTAAACAAATTTTGCACCATAACTCACCGTAACATATTATCATATAAAAAATCTTAATCGACAATTTTCAACTTTTAACAATTGTGTTACAAGACCTTTTATCTAAGATTCTCGATTTAGTACTAACTTTTACCAAAAATAGTTAAAATGTTTCTCTAAGCCTACTTTTTACTTAAATAATTAAAATACTTTTGAAACTTACAAAGCTCTTTAAATATTTATGATTTTCATTTTTATGCTGCTTTTCAATCTATAAATAAAAAAACAAAAATATAATACAATATTATTAAAATAACAGTAACAATAATACAGAGCATCTTAAATCTAACTTATAATTTTTGAACAAACACTCTTAAAAAATAACTCAATTTTCACATAAATGTTTTGGAAGTTTTTAATACATACAATATAACGGAAATTTTTTATTAATAATGATAAAATTATTATATTTGAGTAATATTTTTCGGTAATCTATCTTAAAATTGCATTACTTGTGTATATTTAAGTGTCATACTGACGCATAGTGGTTCAAAATTCAATTATTGCTGGACGAAATTCCAATCTGATATATGCAAAAAACTCTAATCAATTGTCAAATATTAATTTCGAAATGTTCTTTAAAAAATAATTTTAAGTTTTAAGGTTATACTTATACCCGTTCGTATTTATGTTATTTAATATTCAATATTTTGATTTTAGACACTATTTTAAGCAAAATAAAACATTGCTATATATATATATTATTTTTATTCACTGAATATTAGAAAAAATTATCTTACTTTAATTTGAAATATAACTAACTAAATATAAAATCACACTTACATTACTAACTAATACATATAGTTTATAAAAATATATCACCAAAACAGTGTACCCATAGATAAGATAAATTAAAATATAATTCTTTTTGTTACACAAAAATCAACTTCTCTCTTACTCATTCAATGAAACTTCCAGGTAAAAGATTCTATGACATTTTACCAATAAAATCCAACAAAACATAACTAAGAATCTCGCCAGAGATCGCTAAACTACTTTTCAAAACAATAAAAATTTCATTTATTATCATTTTTAGTCACTAGTATTTGGAAGAATTCTAGTATATCTTATATTAGAATGAACACTTAGTGGTACAACTATTTCAACGCATAAAACATATTGGTATTTGATTTATTTATTTACTTCTTTTACACACTACACACATTATAAAATACTAAAGATTATATTGCATTGTATCTAGTGCTTATTGAAAAGTCATAACATGGTTGGACAGAGTAATATAATAATCAAAGTTTTAATTAAGCATTCTCTAATGTGTCTTTCTACTTATCGATCACTTAGTCAGTTTTTCTGAAAAGGAATAGTATGGATAATTGTAGTGTAAAACACTAACATAACTTAATGTGCATAATATTCAGGATACAGTCACATTTAATCTCTGTCGTTCTTGAAATTATTAAAAAGATGTAGGCCACTTGTCAATAGTTTATTGCACAGGACAGTAATATTATTTACAATCTTATTATTAATTTCACTAATTATCGAGTTGTAAATTCGATAGTATAAATAGATTACATATAGTAGAGAGCAGTCTATATAAATACACAAAAAGGATTTACATAAATTCTAAAAGGATGCTAAATTCGATTCTGATCTAGGGTAGATTTAATACACAGTTGAACTGGAGAAATAGTTACACGCCAATTATTATATTATTAAACTCGCGTAGTTTTAAGGGAGTATATGACAATAACAATTGTTAATAGTGACATCAACTATAAGAATCATCCCAACTTAATATTGTTTTATCAGGATAATAAAAAGTAAGTGAAAACATGTATTTCTATAACAAATCTAAAGAAACACCTTCACTGAAGGAGTTAAAATTATAAACCCGTTCGTATTTTATGTTATTTAAAATTCAATGTGTAAATTTTGATCAGCATTTTAGGCATACTAAAACTGTACTACATATTTTATTTTTGCTCACTGAATATTAAAAAAAAATTTATACTATCCATATACTTCCCTTAAATTACGTAAGTTTTATACTATATTACTTCGTATAAGATATTTAATAATAATTAATCACTTGTAGATAATATTTTTAATTAAAAATATATTATATTATATTTTATTAAAAAATTTTAACGCGAATACGTATTTCATTAATAAATTTATTAACAAACCGTTCTAAATAATACTAATTAATTTTTGTGGCTTTTTGAGTTAACTGTTTTTTAGTTTTAAATTAGTATTTTTAATATGATTTAAAATTTAATGAACTAAATTTTTTGTAATTTTTTTTATCGTATTATGTTAAAACAATACGACTGATTTGAAGATTTTAAATAATAAGTAGTTTTGATTAGAAAATCCCAAAAAATTCTATTTTAATTAGTTACGTCAAACCAACTCAACCGTTTCTAATCTCTGCAAATTAATAAATTAAAAATAATAATTCACATTCAAGAAAATTAGTGTTAACGNTTTAAATTAGTATTTTTAATATGATTTAAAATTTAATGAACTAAATTTTTTGTAATTTTTTTTATCGTATTATGTTAAAACAATACGACTGATTTGAAGATTTTAAATAATAAGTAGTTTTGATTAGAAAATCCCAAAAAATTCTATTTTAATTAGTTACGTCAAACCAACTCAACCGTTTCTAATCTCTGCAAATTAATAAATTAAAAATAAGAATTCACATTCAAGAAAATTAGTGTTAACGTTTTAATCACTGAAAAGGTCTAAAAATGTACAGTAGTATTCAAAATTACAAGACACCCCCAAATTTTATATTTCACGCGTTTAGATTTTGAGCTTTTACGCAATCGTAAACGTAGAAATCATCAAGTAAATGCATGCAACTTTTTTCTTTATATGATGTGTTCATAAACTTAAAAGAAAACCGATAGTTTGCATTAGTTCCATTTGTAACTTAATTTTTAACTTACATTTTTGTTAAAAATGTTATTTTTGCAAATACAACAAATATCAGTCATTAAATCATTTTAATGGCTTTCTAAAAATTTTTCATTAACATCCAACTGCGTAATTTTTTTTTTACATGTTATTTGGATATTAAGTTTGATGAAAAAAAGTTTCAAGTTGATGCAGTTAAAAATATTCAAACCACAGGAAAATATTAAGTATTTTTAAGCAACGTAAAAAATTATTTTTGGGTAATTTACTGTCAAATAAGTTCATTTTTCAATATGCTAGGTAAAAATCATATTAAAACGTATAAAACGTTTAAACAATTTTTGCATTTTGAGACTATGTTAATAACATATTTTTTGTTATTAACTTTTAATAAAAAAAAATTTTCATTTATTTTAGCTTTGATGTAAAGCTGAGGAGGTAATAATTTTACCATGATTTTCTTTTTGTGTTTTTCTCCCATTATCCATAATTTCCAGTTCCAGATTTTTTTCAACTAATTGTCAAAAGATTAATAATTGTAACTCGAATAAGACATAACCCTTAAAACTTTTCCTCCGCATATATGAAGCATGTATGTATATACATACACATGATTATATGTTTAGCAATGATCATTGATCATGGTAACATTATTACCGAAATACGTATCCACAACTTTTTAGTCATTTTAGTAGCTTTTTTAATTAAATATTTTTATATTATTTAAGATTACATTAATAATTTTAAATATTCTTAAATTTTTTATTTTAAATAATATTAACCACATTTGATTAATTATTATAATTCCTTTATAGTATTTTTACTAAAAGGAAAAAATTATAAAGATGCGGTGAAAAAATAAGATTCAAATTTTGGCTTAAATTAGTTTACATACATTTAAGTCGTTCCAAAGAAATATTATTTCTCTATTTTCCCAAGTATTCTCCTCGGGTAAGAAATCAAAATATTTTGTGAACTCTTGTGAAGTTTTATCCTCCTGAAAATGAAATATTTTAATTATTTTTTAATAAAAAATGGGAAAATCTACATAGCCCAGCACAATGAAATCGAACCTCAGGCCCTACACACTGATGTACGACGTATTACCAACTCAGCTAGGTAGGCCGTCTATTTTAATTAATGATATTAAAATATAACTATAAATTTTTTTACTTTTTTTAAAAAAGTAGTGTAGTACAAATCTCCATTTTTTTCAATTTCGCTTATGATATCATTCAGTTCTTTTTTTATTGCCTCTTGATGAATTTCAAACGTTTTCATTTTTTTAATTTCAGTTACACTGTAAACAATTAAAGTCAAAAAGTTTTTTTTAAAAGTCTGTACAAATAATATCTGAACAACTTCATATTAATGATAAGTCATCTACTAACATTTATCATAAGAACTTAAAAAATTAATAACTATTAATAAAATATTTCCGATGAATTCAAATCTGTTGCATTTTTTTTTTTGGGGTGATGTCAAAATAAAATTTATGGAATTAAATTTAATGAATTGACATTCACATCGAGTAATCTTATCCGAAACTGTATATTAAACATTTTTATTATGATAATTAAATTATAAATTATGTGTGACTTTAGGTAAAAAAAATTTAAGTAAGGCTCAAATTTGAGATTTTATTAATATCTAAGTGAAACCTATTTAAGACTATGTTAGTATTAACTTGTTAAATTTTCGCCAATCTTAAATATTTGATCATTTTAGTTTTTGTATTTATTTAATAGGTGACAATTTTAAATATATTCAAAAGATATAAAAGCTTCATAAATATAAATATGTGATAAAATTAGTATAAGATACCTCACCAATTTGCCTTAAATGCATAAAAACTTTCCAAGAAAATTCTACAATGTACAATAAATTGAAAATCTACATTTTCAAGGCAATAAAATAGATGTCAATTTTTAACATTCATTATCTATTTTACTATTCATATAACATACAGAATAAATCGCTATTGACGAACTTCAAATAGTATTGAATTGGTTGGGTCACGATTGGTATGCTTCTTTTATAAATGATTGATTATAAATATTTAGGTCTATTAGATAAATTTTTTATTTGATTATGTCAAATTTCTAAAATATGATATGAATTCTCTTGTTTTAAATTTAAAAAATAAATTTATAAATCTGAAAAGTGACGATCAAAAAGGTTATCGAGGACCCCGATCATATGCCAATGGATACTTATAATTAAAATCTCGACGAGACTTTTGGTCTCCATGCGTTTTTGGCTTCATAAATCAGTTATCTTTCCTCATTTTACCCATTTATAATAGAAAAATATGTTAAATAAAATTAATTAAGATGTGCTAAATGAAAATTTTTTTAATTTTCGAAATCAAAAGGATGATATTTATAAAAACTATGTACATTTTTTTAATTATTTTAATCACAATTTCAATTTTAAAATATTTATAACACATATTAAATTGAAGTAATAAACAACTACTATAAATAATATTTGAATATCTACTTACAATCAATTTCGGATAAGAAATGCCATTATTTATGTATATATGATTATTCAAAACTTTTAATTTATTTTTTCATTTACAAATAAAAAAAATTTAACTAGAATCTATTCGTTCAATCAGTCACCTGGCCAATACTGTTAAATAATTAGTACTATTTAAGTAGCGAGTTCACAGCATTCAAGAATAGAAAAGTTGTGTATTAAATCAAACAGAGTGCTATTTAGGGACTGTAGGCGGAGCTACGATAAGAAGGGAATTCTATTATTGTTGTCTACAGTTATAATGTAATAGAACAATTTTGATTTTGTGATCGTGTTGGTTAAAACTGATATAACTTTTAATAAAAACAAATATCCAAAGAAATAGTAATAGAGTATACTACAGACATCAAATAATCTTTTCATAGACTTTTTGTGAATATTCGAAAGCAAGTATAACTGCAAGAAGGATTTGAAAAAAGTTTTTTTTATACTAAAGATTTTGAAAATTTAGGTCCGTCAAATTTAAAACTATATCAAATTAAACATTTTCAAATTCACTACAATATTTAAATAAAAATATATACGTCGACAATTATTCTAATATGAAAAATCGACCGATTCCTTCTAAAAAGTAAACATTATCTACAGATTCATTCCTATTTACTTTCGTTTATTGCGGTGCTTCAACAAATAGATTAGCTATCCAAGTTCCTAATTTTTCTAGGCGACATAAAAGTTATAAATATATTTATTGTATCAAAAAAATTTGAATTATTCTTTGTAACCTTTAAATATTCAAAAAGCAATAATGTAGAGATAACGTTATTAAACTTTTTACATTATAAGGTTTCTACTTTATTACTTTTAACATTTACTTTTAGCAACTTTCAAAGCGTAATTTTTTATAAAAAAAAGCTTCGGTGCAATTCTATTAACAGTGTTTGTAATTATTATTTTTAATTTTTGACCATAATTCGAAAAGTTCATAAATACATTAAAAATGAATGATCTTTATATAATCTATATATTACAAGGTTAAAAATAAAAATTGTCTTTTTATAGAAAAAACCGCTGTTGAAGGTTGTCAAACATTTTAATTGTTATAATTGTCAAAAAGTGTAATTTTTTGCTTCCAAAATTTGACAACATAAATAATCAAAAAAAAAAATGTCTAAATATTTAAGCAATTAAACATGTTATGGTGTTTTGATTAAGCCGTAATTCTTCATTAACAACTATATTCAGCTGTAAATATGAACCAATATACAAAAAACAGTGAACATGATACCTGCAGTGATTAAAATCACTATCAAAAAGAATGTTTCTATGCAAACTTGTAGATTGTGTTAAATTTTTAAAAGGAATTGTTAAAAAATTTAATTTAAAATAATTGTTTAAAGAGTAGGTTAGAAGGGGTAATGATCATTACTCATTTTAATCCTTCTTTGATAAGAACGTTACTAAAAAAATGATTAGTTTTAATTCATTGAATATTGCCATTTTAGATAATTGCTATCGTTTCAGGTACCATTTGTTTAAATTTTATAACAAAAACGAACTTGGTTAAAATTTAAAATTGAAGTAGATATTTAAAAAAAATGTTTGATGATGCATTTACCTCAAATTGTGGGGAAGTGTGATTTTTGGATATATTTATGAATGTAAATATACTTTTTCATTTAGTATGTTAAGGTACTTAGTCTTATGACTTACTAATATTAGGATTATTTTTATTATATGTCGAACTTTCTAGTATTAACTATTACGCAGAAGAGTACTATAAAAATATAATACCCATTCAACTTATGAATATAATTAATAATCCAATAAAAATTTATAATAAACCAATTTTAATTACATAAATCTTCGGAATAGTATTTTGGAAAAAAACTCGTTGAAGTATAAAATTTATTGTCTACTAATTCATATCACAAAAATTGATGAGAAAAAACAAAACTTTTGGAGTAACATATTTTTGTTGTTGTAATAAAGTGCCTATGCACTAAAATTGGTTGAGAATAATGTTAATTATAATAATTTTGTATTAATAGTTACTTTAGACGTATTTAATAGCATTAAGACTCGAATAATGTACTTTATATTATTGTGCGCTCTATAAGAGAATTCATATAATGTGTTGTGATTTTACTTATTACGTAGATAGCGCATTAGTATAGTTATTTTATAATTTATATTCTATGTACAGAATGTTTTATGGTAGACATTATAAAATATGAATATTATCTAAAATTTAAAAGTTTTGTGTTTCACTAAATAGTAGTTATCATTTAAATCATAAGGTTGATAAGAAATTTTTATGATGATATTGTAAAATATATACAGAACAATTCAAATCAATTCATGCGACTGCTTTGGTATAATTTTATGTTCATTATCAGTCTTTTAAGTTTCCTTAAGACTGGGAGAGCTATCTGTTTTCATATAGTCAGTGCATTTACGAAGAAGTGCTTTCCAAATCTGTCGTTCTATTTTTTTCCAAAAAATTTACTAAATAAAGTTTCACATTTTTATTTAAAAACAGATACTAAATTTATATACAGTAACATGTTGAAAAAGTGTACACTTGTTTATATTGCATGTAATGCATAGTAAATGTAGTTATAAATAATTTTAATATTTTTAGGCTAGATAAACTATTAAAGTACAAATTAAGTATTAATAGTGTGATTGAAACTCTATTTAATAAATAATAAACTGAAATTATAATTTTAATATGAAATTGAAAATATAATTAAATATTATGATATTGAATATAATTGATATACTATTAAGTAATTGAGGAAAATTGTCGAAAAGATATAATTATAATACTCATTGTGTATAACTTGGCTGCCGGGGATTGACGGCCGGTTAGAGAAAGTGTACCGGAAATCATGTGAGAAAAAGAGTCACAGTACGGGATTAGAACCCGCGCCCGAAGGAGTTGTATAGACAAACCTTACCACTAGGCCAGGCACGTAGACATGGGTGGGCCTGGCCCCCCTTAGATTTAATGTGGCCCAGGGCCGGCCCCCCCAAATTTAAAATTCAATTATTTTTACGAATTATCAATAACGTAATAGGCCTTATATACATTGAAATTATTATTAATTTGTGATTACTATTGAGTAATACAGTTATTATTATGGCTATATTTTCATTTTTATATTCATAGAAAACGTTATTTGAAAAAGATAACGTTCTGGACGTAATAATAAATGGAATAGCAGTTACTCCAAACGTGGTTGTAGATAAATTTTTTTTAACTTTGATCCAATAAATGATAACAAACTATCAAGTATCATTGATACATATTGAAATATGTATTAATTAGAAACTAGTTGATTACAAAATTTGATAAAGTAATACTCTATGAAAAATTTTTTGATAAATCTTATCTTTAATCTGTTTTTTTTTATAATTTAGTAGTTATAATAGGTAATTTATTTGTTTTTGTTAATTTGTTATTTGCGTGCTCTAAATAATAGTAATGAAAATATGACTAAAAAAAGGCAGGAATTGTTTTTAATTTTAAATAAAATAAATTTTACATTGTTTATAATTTATATTTATTTTCAAAATAATTTATAACTTATTTGTTATTAGTATTTAGGTATAAATTATTTTTTCTTAATAGCTTAAAAGTTGTAAAATTAAATCAGCTTATGTTCACATTGTTATTTTATTAGCTTCGATGCAAAGCTGAGAAGGTATTGATTTTACTATGATGTGTTTTTTTTTTGTGTCTGTTACCAATTTTTCTCAGCTCTCACCAAATCGATGTCTTTCAATGATACGTCAAAAGATCACAAATCGTATCTAGTCAAAGACATTATCCTCAAAAATTGAAAATAATTCCCTCGTTCCCCGTAAATGGGGGAAACCTCCAAAAACATTACAATTTTAAAAATCGCTAATTTTCGAAATTTTTTCAATTTTTTTTACTAAAAACTGCCGTAACTTTTTCAAAAATGAACATAACAATATAATTTTTTTATATATTGATGCATGATATCATTATCTTTCATTTAGTATATTTTTTTTCATATCTGACCCTTTACCTGCCCACAGGGGGGGATTTAAAATGACAACTTTTTCACAAAAAATTTACTTTTTCAACTTAAATTTTGAAAGTGTTCCGGAAAGTCTGACACTTTTGTATATATCTTAAATTAAAGGTTATGTAATACACTTTATTATGGAATAAAAAAATTTTGGACTTTATTTTGTCTTCACGGTGAAAATGGCTACCAAATGCTATTATTGTGTAAAAATTCTTGATTTTATTTTTTATATTTTTAACTTTATAATGCTATAACTTATTGAAAAGCGTATGGATCAACATAATTTTTCTATGAGAAATACTATTTTTTAATAATCTCTTTTTCATTCGACATACCTTATCTTAATCAGGATATTAATAAGGAACTAGCAGATTATGTAGCTTTTGGAATAATCCACCAATTTTTTTAAATTAAACACTATCTAAAGATTTGCATCGAAGCGTTCTTTTGGATAGTGATTTTAATCACTGTCAGATATCATTATACTTGATCTAACTATGCCACGTCACCACTATGCCGCGACCCCCCTGTGCTGGGTTTTTTTATAATACTGTAATAATTAGTATACTTTATACGAAAACAATTTGTTTTTAACCAACCAATGGTAAAATTTTGAACTTGTAAGATTCATAGAATGGGATACTGTCTACGGTGGAGTGGAGGGAGCGCCCCCCCAAAAGCTTTTCATGGGAAACAAATTATGGAAAATGATACAAGGGCCCAAAATTGTTGACCCCTCCAATATATATTTTCTGGCTACTTGCCTGCACTAGGCCATCGTTCACTTTTGATTCATAATGTGCGGCTGAGGAAACACGGTACCGTGTCAAGTATTTTAGTAATGTAAAATTTGTAATACACATGACACATTTTGCTGTAGTCATGAAATATTATACTAAATATTAGCAATATTTAAAGTACCACAATCTTAAATTCCATTCGCTGATTAAAATAATTTGTTGAGATTTTAAAGACGTCAATTATGAAGTCAAATATAAACACTTATTTATTATCAATTCAATTGTCATTTATTATAACGTCCAAAAGATATGATTTAATACACTACTTTATTTAGATAAATTAAATAGAACAATAATTAATGTGTTATAGATTAGTAAAAGTTTACTTATTCTTAACTATCAATATAAAAGTTTGAATCAAATGAAAATATTTAAAAATGAACTCTGAAGCTAAAGATTATGGCACATTTATAAAAACAAAATTATTTATCAATAATAATAAACATCAACGTTTATTTTTACCAGGTTTGTTGGGTATATATATTTAGATATAGATGAACAGATTATTTATATTTAGCCATTTATTTATTTCATTAATTAAATAACAGTTTACAGTAAAATTAATTAAATACAAACGCATACTTACTGTTTTTAGTTAAAAATAAAAAATGCTTGTTACTTTTCAATTTTGTTTTAAATTAAGAATTTACATTATTTCTGTTATTCTATTCAGACTTTATTCTTATTTAAAAAACACATATCAATTAGAGCCGACATGACAACCATAATGACTTTTAATTTAATATAAATTAATAAAAATAAGTATAAATTTAAACTAATATTCTTTTAAGATAAAATACAATTAATTTATATTTTATACGAAATATAAATAGATCTATTCTCATCTTATTTATTCTATGATCAGTGTTCCAATATTCTTGATAAGAGCTTCATTCGATGATAAGAATTATCAATAAAATAAAAACTGCTACACTTTCGAATAAAAATTAAAATCTTTCATACTAAATTTATATACTGTAACTAGTATTTATTTATATATTATACTCATAATTAAAAGAATTACTAATCTGGGTATAATTAAGGAAATAGAAGTTGATGTTGCTTTTGGAATAATCCACTAATTTCATAAAATTAAACACTCTACAGATTTGCATTAAAGCGTTTCTTATGATAATAATTTTAATCACTATCAGATATCATCTATACATGGCCCAACTATGCCACGTCCACACTGTGCCACCACCTCATTGTGTTAACTTCTTTTTTTAATTATTTTACTTATCTTCAGAGTACCATCGATACGTGATAACCTTGTTGTACCAATCTCGAATTTTCATTATTATTTTTTATAAGCATTAAAAAAAACCCAGCACAGTGGGGTCGCGACACAATGGGGACGTGGTATAGTTATATCAAGTATAATGATATCTGACAGTGACTAAAATCAATATCATAAAAAACGCTTCAATACAAATTTGTATATAGTGTTTAATTTTAAAAAATTGGTAGATTATTCCAAAAGCTACATGATCTCTTATTTCCTTATTTATATCCTGATTACAAGTTTTATGATTTATAAGTGTAATATATATGTATGTCGAATGAAAGAGGTATATAAATAGTATTTATCATAAAAAAATTGTATTGATCCATATATTTATCAAAAAGTCATAGCATTATAAAATTAAAAATTTTAAAAATAATTTTTTTTACAAAAATATTATTTTTTTATTTACTTTCATGTTAGTTTTCATCATAAAAACAAACTAAAATCTGAAATTTTTTTTTCATATTAAAGTGTATTATATAAGCTTTAATTTCATATATATAAAAAGTGTCAGTATTTTAGAACACTTTCAAAAGTTCATTTTTTGTGAAAAAGTTGTCATTTTGTATCCCCCCTGTGGGCAAGTAGAGGGCCTGATTTATAAAAAAAATATATCAAGTGATAGGTAAAGACATCATCCATCTATCAAAAAAAAATTATATTTATTTGGTCATTTTTGAAAGAATTATGGCAGTTTTAAGAAAAAAATTAAAAAATGTTTAGAAATTAGTGATTTTTAAATTTGTAGTTTTTTTTTGGAGAAATTTTTTTAATTTGAAATGTCTTCGACTAGATACGATTTGTGATATTTTGACGTATCGTTGAAAGAAATCAGTTCCGTAAGAGCTAAAAAAAAGTNTTTTTAATTTTTGATGGTAATGTCTTCGACTAGATACGATTTGTGATATTTTGACGTATCGTTGAAAGAAATCAGTTCCGTAAGAGCTAAAAAAAAGTGGTAACAGACGCAAAAAAAAGAACACATCATAATAAAATCAATACCTTCTCAATATAGGTAATAATTTGTGTCCACCGTATATTGAAATTTATTGTGCCTCTGAAGATACTTAAACTTCTACCATTATAAGAACAGTCAAATTCAGAAATTAAATGACATCTTCAATCTTCATATCACACTCATTCCAAATAGTTTCCATGTCTACTATTAATGTTCGCTTGATATCTTATAGAAGAATTCTCATTTTGATTATTAATTAATAACAAGGTATAAATTTTAAAAAATATAACTTATATAACAATTATAAAATATAATTAAGATTAGCATGCACTACCATTAACCAAAACTCTTTTAAATCTCTTTTGAATCCTATTAAACACAGTGTTTAAAATGTATAACTAAATATGAAATTATACTCTTATCGACACAGCACTTTCAAGATTGTACTTATCCATATACTTAGCAATTAAAAATAAAAGTTTACATATTATTTTATCTACTTCTGTCTAGTATCGTTCTGGTGAAATATTTATATTATTTCAAATGAGTTATCATTTAAAAAGGTTATATTCACATAAGTTTGATGCATAAACAATTTCTGAACATTTATATTTGATAATAATATTTTTACAATCAACATGTTAGCTACTGGCGCATGAGTTTCATAATACTCTCCGTTTATTATATAGTATTAATAACTTCCGAAATGGTTGAAATATTGTTATAGAACACACATATTTTTAGTGAGATCATTTTCTTACTTGTAATCTTATTAAACATGTATGTTTCCTTAAAAACTGAATTCAGTACAAATATTAAGAGAAAATAAGGGGGATATAGCTATATATTTTTATGTTAAATTAAAAGCACAGGAAACTAATAACTTATAAAAAGAAAAAATTATATTTTATCTTTTACTATTAAATATATTGCATAAAATAAAGTAATGAATCCTCTATATATTTTATTATTTGGTTGCAATATTTTTTGTTAATTCCTCCAGATCTTTATTTTTAATGTCTACAAGTACATTTTTTTGCCTACAATCTTGTATTGCGGCGCTATTTCGATTAGCAAAATAATTAATCTGTCACAATAAGTAACTGTTATAGTCTTTTACTATAATAATAAATACATAGATAACTTTATCAAAGTTAATTAAAATTAATATTTCACTTCAGTATTAAACTTCAAAATTTCATTCCTAATTATTCAGTATGATCTCATCCTAACAGCCTCTGTTTAAAATTTTTATTTATTTTCCAAAACTAAAATATTTAGTATAATTTCTTAGTGTTGCCTACAGATCAGATTTAAATTTAAACCCGAAAAACTTACACTTTTCTTGCTTAATCTATGAATCTGGATTTCTATAATATTTGGAATTTTATTATTATGATCAGTTTTTTCAAAAAAGTTATGCAAAAAATGTATATTACTTGAATAAAACTGACAGTAACTAACAAAAAAAAATATAAATAAAAACCCCCAAAAAAATGTAATTCAGTCCGAAAAACATAAAGATGACATAGATAAAAATATTAATGAACTCCTTAATGTATAATTAAAAATTAAAAATGTATTGATGCTATAAATTTGTTATACAAATAATGTTACCAAATATTAAAAAAATAATTTTACTTCCAATTATAGTACTTCACATGATATTCATGTGTTATCAAAAGTTAAAGTCTTATCTGTTAGTAATGTCTACGTAAACTGTTTTAGATTATAAATGCATTTATAAATCGAGAAAGGAACTGACGAACAAATTACACAAAATTATATAACGTGTTCAGTAAATAAGGAAACGGGTTTCTATTGTTCTCATCGTTTATAACAAATTTCTTGTTTCCTTACTTACTGAATACTCTATACATGAATATGTATTTATACAGAGTGGTTGTTTATGTTATGAAAATAAGCTATTTATGATTTAAAAACTATTATTCTTATTATACATAATAATTATTATTATATTAAATAATGTTAATGTTTTAAATATATATTAAATATTTTGACTTATGTTTCGGTACGTTTACATCTATAGTTTTGGATTAAGGTATATTAACAAATAATTTTCGAATATTTAAATTCAAATAAAAAAATCCCAGACAAGGAATTTTGTGAACTTTTTTACTATGATCATCCCATTATTTTATCCCAACTACACTACTGCCTACAAATGATGAAATTTAAATTATACAACACAAAATTAAGATGAAAAGAATGAAATATAAGTATTGTACAAAATTATGTATATAAAATTATAACATTTAAAAATAAAACAACAACTTTAACGTTACATTAACTTAAATTTATGATTATGAGATTTGCACAATTTGTTGTAATAATTATTTCAATGCAATTTTTGCCAAGAAATTTAAAAAAATAGGAAGGAGAAGCTAGAGGTTTGTCCCGCCTATATTTGGGTTCTCTCTAAAGTGACACAAGCACCTGTTAAAACTGGCACTGGATAAGCAGATTTGTAAATACAATTCAGTCAACGCAGTATGCGTATCACGCACGTTTAAGTTAAGTGAATTTTTAACTCAAATTGTATACCCAATTATTCATTTTTTATTTAATTAGTACTAGCACAACTATGCCTAGATCAAAAGGTAAGTTTGTACTTTATTGATTGAATTTTAGTCAAGTAATTAGAGAAATATATTGTTCATAGTACATTATCAATAATATAATTTATAAAATAGTTAACTTAATTCATTAAAAGTTAATTGAAATTTGGAAAATGATTATCAGATGTTAATAAAATAATCAATTATAAAATCTTCTCGTAAACAAAATGCTTTATTACTATGGATATTTCATATAGTTTTTCCCAAATAACCGTTCATAATGATATTATTTTACCATAAAATATAACACGTATTTATAGCTAATCAATAGCTTTGAAATAATTAAAAACTAGCTGATACTATGGAATTAATAAAATTTATTTGTTATTTGTATGTTTTACTTAAATTTATGTATTGTGCAATACTTGATTTATATATTTTTTTGATTATAAATAAACGCTTTGATATTACTGTAATAAAATCTAATTTAGGAATCTTGAGTTAATCTGTTGTCCACCATATAGTATGTTTAATTTTTAAGTTAAAAAAGAAAAATTTTATTAATAAAGTTGGATAACTATTTTAAAAGAAATTGTTAAATTTTTATGTTTATGAACATTATTATTATTTTTTAATTCTAGTAAATCCTTTTGTACTTAATTTTAATACAGAAAATCTTTTTTTTTTTTTCTTAGAATTTCTGACGGGAGCACTGCATTTGTTTAGCTTTCCCAAATCCACCATTGTACGTTTTTTTCCTTTGAGCTTAAAATACAGAGTATCTATTTTAAATGTTAAATTTTAAATCTATATTAAATGTTGGGAACACCGACTTAATTTAATTTAAAATTTGATAAAACATTATAACCATAAAAAATTCTTTAAAATTCAACTTTTACTATTTAACATGAATATTATTTAAGTATAAGTTTAATAAAAAAAAAAAAACGAAATTTTTTGTTTCAAAGTATTCAATTTTTAATCAAGACTCCTGATTATTATGTAATATTAGTAATTTATTTAAGTTAAGTATATGATATATGCTTTTTTACTTATACGATATATACGTTTTCAATAGCCTACATTCAAATTTGATTTAAGGGAAAGGGTTAAATAATTTAATTACTTAAAACACTACCCTAAATTTTATTATGAAATATAAATTTTTATTTTTCGTAACATCAAATTACATATACAAATTAACAATAACAATATTAAATACAAACATTTAAAATCATTTTCAGATAATTGTTATTAAATATAAATATAATCAAGCAAAGATTACATCTATTCGGGTCTGGGGCCAGATATTTTAATGAGTTCAAGAAAAGTTTTTGATTAAAACTATAAACAATGTTTTATTACAACGAAAATAAAAACTGCATCTGAAAAGAAAATTAATTATATTAATAATTTAACTTTAAATTTTTAAAAATGTATTTTAACAATTAGATAGAATACAAGACTAGGTTCTTTTTCTTTATCAATAACATTGGCACTCTTGCTACCCTTTAAACAATTCTGAAAATAATATTAAATGTTCCTGAACATTTTAAACAAAAAGTAGTAATAATTTCTGATTTGCAATAATTAGATGATAATTTAGATCATTGAGAAAAATGTATGTACATAGTAATAATGAATTTTAATTTTACGTTTAGGCTCAGTACCGNTTGAGAAAAATGTATGTACATAGTAATAATAAATTTTAATTTTACGTTTAGGCTCAGTACCGGTGGGTAACCCAACACAACCGGTGAATTATTTAGCTATCAAAACATTGTTAAATAAATTTTCTATTATACTTGTGATTTCATAAGTTTACTGACCCCATTTTTTCTTAAAAAATAATTTTTTCATACAAATCTACAGAGTAAAATTTAATTTATTTTCATAAACCATTGTAAATATGAATTTAATTGTAAAAAAAAATTATTCCAGAGTTTAAAATTTAGGGGTAACTTTCGAAAGTTAATTAGGCACCTATTATTATTTTTAATAAATGCTAATATCTCAAAGAGAAATAATACAATACAGATTAGTGACCAGTCAAAATTTTAATCACACTATTTGCCATTTAATGTATAAAAAATAATAGGTTCCCATTTAACTTACAAAAGTTATCACTAATTATGATTTTTCCATAAAAAAGTATAGATTAAAATTTAATTTATTTTATAAAACATTGTTAATATTAAGTTCTTTTAAAAAAAAAATTATTCCAAAAGGTAAATTTTAGAGATAACTTTTTTATATAAGTATTACCTTCTTTAACTACGTTTTAATTATATTTTATATTATTTATCTATAACTAATAAATGTAGAATCAATGCTCAATATTGTAATTATAATATTATATATGAACTAATATTAGTACTACTATATAATATTGATAATGTGTAATAATTTGAAAACACAAAATTTAACAGACTAGTTCGATATTATCCTAAAAAATTTTATTTTTATATTTTTTCTAAGTATATAAAATATTTAAAAAACTATTTGAAGTGTTTCTATAAAAAATTTGATATCTAAATGTGTACTAAATATGTATTACATATATTAAGTAATTCTATAAATGCTAATAAATATTTTATATATTTAAAGTGTATTATAGTTCCCCTATGTCTTAATCTAAGTAGAAATAGTTTGAATGAGGTATTTCCAAAAACAAACATTTTTAGTAGTATTAATATTGATTATTTACGACACAATTTAGCCTTCATAGAAACATTTACATAGTATTAAGATAAGTTGTGAAGTGTTTGACACGCATCTTGTTCAAAATAAATTACGAGAATATAATAGTTATTATTGTAAACAATGCAGTTATAAAAATATGCGAATACTTTTTCGCTTTTTTCTTTAAATGTTAATTTGAGCTTGAAATATTTTAGTAGAACTATTACCTAATAATAGTAGTTATACTTTAACTACTATTGACACTATTGATACTAACTATAGTTGGAGATACTTCAACATTATAAATATTTGGAATGTTTTTATAAGACATTATTTGAAAATCAAATTTTATTACAATTATTCATACTTTTATTTCATATTGTATCATAAAAATAAGTAGTAATTTCAATAATTAATTTTAAACACAACAATACACGCGTATGTAACTTGGTTTTACATCAATATGTTTCTCAAAACTAATTCTAACAATATCGAAATATATTGTATACAATTATAGAAAGATCTTTATTTTGTTATATTAAAAATGTGTTTTCCAACAATGCGTAATGAAAATGTTATTAATCCAGTTGTTGTTTTTTATTTTCAATACTACCAACGAAAGCAATTCACTCATTTGTCATAACACCTTTTTAGGAATATGTGTTAATGTGTAAATAATCTATTTATTGCTGCACTAACCACGTTGACGGCAAGGGCAATGCCCCAATAGACGAGTATCTTTTGTTAAGATACAAGCTAGGCAATCATCATCAAAAACGTAGGTATAAAATTTTTAAAAAAGAAATGTATCCCCCTTATTATCCTGATGGATTTTTGAATGTCAGTTGTGGATTATATTTTTTTGTTCGTTGACTCTTCGACACAGAAATATTTTGTAAATAAAGCAAATATAATTTTATGAAAGGGATTTCATTATTTATTAATAACTGAGACCCCTAACATGCAAATTAAAACATTGCTTATATAATAATTTTATTAAGTTAAAAACAATTTAGAAGTAGAGATTGTCATTGTTTGTAGTATTTGAAACCTGAGTTAAAAAAAAAACATTTTCTATTGAGTTACAATTTTAAAATTTTAAATGAATCTTTTTAAATAAATCATGAACACTGTGTAATAAATATATAAATGTATGTACAATGGTCATTTGATGTTATCAAGAAGTATAAATTATTTAATATTACAAGTCTTTAAAATAGGAAAGAATTTTCAATTATATAAACTTTAAAAGATTATCAGCAATTCTTATATATTAATTTACAATTTTCACGTGCACTGTTGAATAGGTTAGTCTTGTCAGTACCTTCAATGAATATTAAAAATATAAACAATTTCGTAGTCAATTTAATGCATACAAATAAGAATATATATTTTATTCTGATCATAAAAAAATATTTATTTTTTTCTAGAACTTCTAGAAATAATTTCTTTTTGTATAAGCTAAAAGTATTTTTAAATTTTGTGTAGAGACTAAGTTTTGAATTACTTATTCAGTTTACCTATATTGTATTTATTTTAGAAAGTATTATCTACATTTGTATGAACATTTTTTCTAATTGAAAGTATAGTTACTTATACATAAACGTAACTTTTAATTTGTTACATTTATTTTATTAATAGGTAATAAAATATTTTTTTAATTTAGTTGTACATGGTATGATAACCATGGATGATGTATCCGATAACAACAAAATCTGGAGAATGTTGATAGCAGAATTTCTAGGAACAGCCATTCTTTTATTTATTGGATGTGGTAGCTTGATGAAAATAGATGTTTTGAGTTCAAGTGCTGTTTTACAAGTTGCTTTAGCATTCGGATTTATAATCGCATCGCTGGTTCAAGTAATTTTGTTTTATATTTATATTGTTTTAGTATTTTAATATCAAAATATTATATTAATTAATATTATGACAGTTTATTTTTTTCTTTATTGCCTACATAGACATTAATGTAATAAAAATTTTGGGGTTTGAATATCATGGGTGTTCATAGGGGGAAACAGTTGCCTCACTTTGACTTTTTACGTTGTCAATTTTCATAATTAAATAATAAAAAAAAAAAATTTTCACTTAAAAGATAGAAAATTGTATTTTTATTAAATGATATTATGAATGCCAGAATTAAGAGCATTGTTCTTATAGATTAATGACATATAATAGTTTCGACCATACAGGACCGCATCGGGAAGGGGACATTTGGTGCACGTGCCCCGGCGGCTGGTTTTTAAAGTTGGCACAACTATGAAGCAATATAAATTATAGAGTTTAAGACCTTTTTTTTCACTCATTCAAATAAAATATATTACTAAAAGTTGGCGCCTAATTCTTATGGTTACTGATTCAATATCTTAGTCACGAGTCGGCTTAGTTTACATTGCGAATAACTAATCTAACGATAGGAGTAGTCATTCCTCGTACACTGGAGAAGAATTATCTGATTATCCATTTTTGAGTTAAAACTGTTTATAAAAAACCATCTGTTTGGAAGAAGTAATGAAGACTAAAAGATGGACTGAATAAACAAATAAAACGCTTATCTACTTTTATTTACATTTTTATAAATCTGTAAAATAGCTGTTTTTTAATATATATATATATATTATCACAGAGAAGAGTTGTAATTCAGTATTATGCCGATTTACACTTATAAACACAAATAATGTTTAACCTTGAAATTTCCTTCAATTTGCGAAATGTATAATACTTCGACATTGTAACTATCAGAAATTTTATTCCTTACCTATATTTCAGGCAAATAAAAAAAAATTTAAATAATTAAATAAGATAAATTATTCTTTACTTATCGACTAAGCCGAGTTTTTTTTGTGACTCTTCGTGAAAATTCAGATCTCTCACTGAACTGATTTTGTTTATCTGTGTCAAAAAAAAAACAGAAATTAATGTAGTTGAACTTTCTAGTGTCAAAAACCTCCCTCTATTTCAAAAATTAAAAAAATATCTCAAAATTACATTACTTTCAAGAAAGGTATAAAAAAAAACAATTTCTGCATTTTAAAACTGCTATTTTCGAAAATACTAATTCAAAATATATAAACAAAATTTTAGTAAAGTGTAAAATAAGTTTTCTTTATATAAGATTTGTATAGAAATCCAATGAATAACTTAGTACAGAAAGAGTTTGAAAGAGACTACGTAAAAAAATTTATTTCAAATTATTATTTGAAAATGTTCTGAAACGTTTGTCTATTGACTTAAATCAAATCAAAGCTTTTGATATAAACTACAATAATTAAAATAAAGTGTTCTATTATGAAAAATCTGCCATCAAAGCTAAAAAATTTGTAAATTTTTATAAATAAATAAAAAAATCAATTTGTATCTCTCATATTAAAATTAAAAAGCCCAGCACAGGCGGGTCGTGGCATAGTGGTGACGTGGCATAGTTAGATCAAGTATAATGATATCTGACAGTGATTAAAATCACTATCAAAAAAAAAAAAACGCTTCGATGCAAATCTTTAGATAATGTTTAATTTTAAAAAAATTGGTGTTTTATTCCAAAAGCTACTTGATCTGCTGGTTCCTTATTAATATCTCGATTAAGATAAAGTATGTCGAATGAAAAAGGGTTTATTAAAATAATATTATTTCTCATAAAAAAATTGTGTGGATCCATAAACTTTTCAATAAGTTATAGCATTATAAAGTTAAATATAATATAAATAATAAAATCGAGAATTTTCACACGAAAATAGCATTCGGTAGCCATTTTCACCGTGAAGACAAAATAAAATCCAAAATTTTTTTATTCCATAATAAAGTGTATTACATAACCTTTAATTTAAGATATATACAAAAGTGTCAGACTTTCCGGAACACTTTCAAAATTTAAGTTGAAAAAGTTCTACTTTCTATATGCAAGTAAATTTTTTGTGAAAAAGTTGTTATTTTAAATTCCCCCCTGTAGACAGGTAAAAAGTCAGATTTATAAAAAAAAAATATACCAAATGATAGGTAAAGATATCAAGCATCTATATAAAAAAAAAAAATTTACGGATCCATACTTTTTCCAAAAAGTTATAGCATTATTAAGTTAAAAATATAAAAAAGAATTATTTTACAAAAATCGTAATTTTTTTATTAACTTTTATGTCTATTTTCACCACGATGACAAGTCCAGATGTCAACTTTTTTTTTCCATAATAAAGTATATTACATTACCTTTAATTTAAGATATATATAAAAGTGTCAGACTTTCCGGAACACTTTCAAAAGTTAAGTTGAAAAAGTTCTACTTTTTATATGCATTTTTCAGATTTGAACATCCCCCGTATATAAGGAAATTGTCTGATTTAAAAAAAAAGTATGTCGAATGAAAGATGTATGTAAATACTACTTTTCATGAAAAAATTGTATTGATCCATACATTTTTTAAAAAGTTATAGCATTTTAAAGTAAAAAATGTAATATATAAAATCGAAAATTTTCAAACAAAAAAAGCATTTGGTAGCCATTTTCACCATGAAAACAAGTCCAGAGGTCAATTTTTTTTTTTCAAATTAAAGTATATTACATAAGCTTCAATTTAAGATATATATAAAAGTGTCAGACTTTCCGGAACACTTTCAAAAGTTATGTTAAAAAAGTAAATTTTTTGTGAAAAAGTTGTCATTTTAAATCCCCCCTGTGGGTAGGCTAAGTGTCAGATTTACAAAAAAAATATATTAAATGATAAGTAAAAACATCAAGCTTCTATAAAAAAAAAATTATATTGTTATGTTCATTTTTGAAAAAGTTACGGCAGTTTTTAGTAAAAAAAATTGAAAAAATTAGCGATTTTAAATTTGTAATTTTTTTGGAGGTTTCCCCCATTTACGGGAAACGAGGGAATTATTTTCAATTTTTGAGGGTAATGTTTTCAACTAGATACGATTTGTGATCTTTTGACGTATCATTGAAAGAAATCGGTTAGGTTAGAGCTGAGAAAATTGGTAACAGACACAATAAAAAAAACACATCATAGTAAAACCAATACCTCTCAGCTTCGCATCGAAGCTAAAATGCAGTTCTTAATTTGTAATGTTTTATTGAAGGATATTACATAATAAATCACATTTCCAACAAACAAACATTGATTTTTAACCTTTTTTGAATTTTATTTACGTATTGTTAACAAAATTTCGATATAAACATTTTATTGTTCGTGGAAATATATATATTTTGCATATATTTTCAATCCTGTATTTAATTTTATTATTATAACTGTAATTTATGTTTTAGATATTTGGCCATGCTAGTGGATGTCATATTAATCCAGCAGTCACGATTAGCTTTTTGGTCAGTGGCCAATGTTCATTTTTAAAATCTGCCCTATACATTGTAGCTCAATGTTTGGGTGCTATTGTGGGAACATATGTACTTGATGTAAGTAAATTAATAGTATTATTTCTGTCATTTTACAATAATTGTTAAGTTATTCAGACGTATTTTTAGATTTCTTTTTATTATATTGTATGTATTTTGTATATTATATTTAATGTCCTCTCTTGTGATTTTTTTTTGTGTTAGGGCGGATAGGGAAATATTTGAAAACTTTATATTAGTAATCAAACTTCCAGTTCATGTATATCCCAAATTATGCAATATTAGCTGAGTTTTACAAGTCATCTGAATGGATTCTAAAATTTTTTATTGTTCTTTGTTAAAATATATCAGATATACATTAAAATTGTACCGACCTTCTAAATTTATAAAAACTCGTAATATGATTATAATGACAAGTCGTATTATCAAATTAATAATCTTAGATTATACTTAATTTGTAGTTTCCTTTCAAAAATATTAATTTGTAATTAATAGTTATAAATATACATCTTCCTTTATGAGTACATTCATTTTTAATTATACTCTTTCATTTGTTTCTGGCTACATCACTATTTATTATCTAATCTACACTTTTGTAATCTATTTTTGTATAGCATGTTATTATTTTTTTCTTATGATGCAGTCTTACTTTTTTTGGCGTGGTTTTAAAAAAATATATTTATGAGTCATAAACATGTTTTTTATTTTAGAAAATAATGGTAGTTAAATACATCATGAAATAAACAATTATTACTTTTTGTAGTTAAATCCTAAAATATAGAATTAAACTTTTTTTAATGCTATATTTTATCTTATCGGGTATATTTTATTTTAATATAATTATTAAAATTTAGCATAATTAAATTAATAAATTTATAACCCCTATAAGTAAAATTGTTTTATTTTTAGGTGTTATTATTTAACCTATATTTAAAAAAAATAGACATTTTATTTGATGAATTTTTTATTTAATAGTTTGTTACAGTTAGAACACCGAAAAGTCTTGGTGAAACAAGTACAGATCTCGATCCCATGATAGCTTTTACAGTTGAAGCTGCAATTACCTTCATATTAATTTTGGTTATTCATTCAGTTTGTGATGATGCAAATAGAAGTAATATTGTAACACCTTCTGTGTCAATTGGCTTAGCAATTGTCGCAAACCATTTATTTGCCGTAAGTAAATATTTTCTAATGTAGTTTTTCATTGTATGGAATTTTGACAGCTATTTAAAAATAATTTTTTGTAATTAAACAGGGAAAAAGTCCTAATTTATCATAAAATAATTAAATAAAGTTTAAAATAATTGTTATAAAAATTAGAAATAATCAATTTATAAATTTCATTTGTCAAACGTTACGATAACGTTACTCAATTTTCGTGACATTTTAGAGTGATTAAAAAATTGATAATTTTAAAAATCATACAAATTTGCCATACTTTTTTGATAAAAATATCATTAACCTCTATAAAAAAACAAAATTGAACACTATTAAATCGTTAAATTTGTTTGTTATTTTATTAAAAAATTTTATTTCATTCAGTTGTTAAAAAAACCATCATATAACAACTAATCATAAATCTGAAGTAAATATAATAATCATAAAACTGTAAAGAGGTTTTAAAAAGTATAACACCATATTATTTTTTTAATAATTTGCAATACATGCTGTTTCTATTTGATCGACGATATGAAAAAGACTTTTTACTAAAATAATTTCGTTTACATTTTTTTTATCACAACTTTTATTTAATGTAATAAGAATTAATCACATATGACTAATATTATTTAAAATCAAAAATATATTTAAAATATTAATTTAAAACTTTCGAAAACAAATTATTTTAAAGAATATATGGTTGTATTATTATTGTTTTCTTAAAAAAAAATATTTGTTTGTATAATATATAGCTGGGTGTTAAATGAATAATTATTTTATTGTGCTAGAAACATACAAAAAAAACTTAATTACATCAATGTACGAGTTATATTCTTTATATTTACGTCATGTTCATTTAGTTTATATTGCGTTGAATGGCATGAAAAATAATTTTAGTTATGCATTTACAATTTTAAAAACAAAACAGCTTTTCATACATATTATGTTATCATTTCACAGTTCATAATATTTTTTCAGTTTGAATTATAGTTGACTGTGTATATATATATGTAAATGAATAGCTTCTTATATAAGTTTTAGGTGTTTTATTCATTTCAAATTTTTATATTTTTATAGTTAAAATGTCATTATTATTATACTAGAGTTATATTTTAATCTCAAGAACGAATTCATTTCTAAAAAGCTCAAATCAAACTAAATCCAACGATAATTTCTAACAATTCTCACTTTTTAATTATAATAATTCATTTATGATCTTTAAATAAGTTCAATTATAATCATTTTGGTATTCCCATGGGCCAGTGAACACCAGCCATCAACATATGGTCGGTTATTTTGGCACAAACTTGAGGTCTTGCACGACGAATAGATCACAAATAAGATCATATTTTATTAGAAGTGAGCTAAAATAGTTCTTTATAAAATATTAGTACCATTTTTATATTCCTTGACAATACGATTATTCAAAAAAATGTCTGTATATTTGTGGATACCAAAAAATGTGTATAACATAATATATTTTAGAAATCGATACTTTTAATTCAAACAACATATATTTGTTTTGGAAAATTTCAATGCCTACAAACACATTTATCTATTTAAAAATAATAAATGTCATGATAAAATTTGAAGTTCAATATCAGTAGCATTGTATATTAAATATATAAATAGAACAAATTTTGTTCTATTTGATTTATTCCAATAATTAAACCTTTAAAATGTTTTTTTATTTTTTATGATTATATACATAAATTTAAACATTTATAGATAAACGAACCAACCAAGGATTAAAAAAATATTTCCTTGGTATTTTGACCTAGAATTATTTACAATGGTTAAAATAACAATAGCTAAGTAATCAATTGTGTAAGAAATCAACATTAAATTTTAAAAGCATACAGTGCATCTAAACACATAAATTACACAATATAGTAGTTTTTTGAGTTAAATAATTTCCCTCTTTATGAAAAATTCACATTTTATAATAGCTTCTAAGAAAATTAATGACTTATCAATCGTATATCATGAATCAATCAAATTGCATAAGATCTTATCCCATATATCCTATCCTATGTACCTAAAAATTATAATAACTCAAAAATTAATATTGGAAACCTATTAATCGACCAATTATAATTTTATTTTATTTATTCTTCATTTAACAATAAAATTATAGGTTTTCATTTAATTTTCGAATGTTACCTATAAAAACATACCTTATAAATATATTTTTTTATACAATAAGTTTGATGTAAAAAATAAAATAAAATTTTATATTAGTAAATTTTATTAACAAAATTAGGGTTGTTATTCTTAATAATTCACACTGTGTAGTGTGGTGTACATTTTAAAGGTAACCTAGAAAATAGTTACTGTAGTTTATAAAACCGTATCATAAAACAGCATACATTGTTTAATTTAATTAAGTTTTTATTTTTTTCTTGTGGCCCAAAAAAATAAGTACAAAAATAAACAATACATTCGAGGTCGGCAATGAATAATGTTAGTTTGTAGTACCGTGAAGAGGCTCAGGAAATGCCAGTTTTGTTTTAATTGTCTATCACTAGTTCGAAGGACACGTGTCAATGAATAATTGAGATATGACCCGAACAAATTTACATTGCAATATCAATAGTAAAATCAGTTAGATTAAAAACCTTAACTTCACTATAAATTTTAGATTATATTAACTGAAGACAGTTTATATCCTAACTCGATGCGCAGATTTCGAAGTTCTCAACTATTCCGTCATTTTGTACAAGTTTAGCTATACTCTATACCTAGATAATTTAGTAACAATGAGGAATAATGATAATAGAAAATCGTAAAATTTGACTTAACGAAACAGATTTAGATTATTTTATAAAAAATTTTAACGCACGGTTTTTATTTATAGTTGGACTATAAATTTTCGTTAGATGATTACTTTAATATTAGCTGTTGTAGTTATTAATTTATTTTTAAAGTATAAATGATAATTTATTCTAAAAATTGTACCCGTTTGAAATATTTCAAGAAGTCACTTTTGAAATGTTTGATGTTTATTAATTTGTAACTATCGCCTATAACTTAACATATAAAGTATTATTGCAAGTATAGTTTACATTACCTTGACTTATAAACAATACGTACTCCATTGTACATTATTGGTGTTTTTTATCTTTATAGTTCTTTTAACAATAATATATTGATTGTGCTTTAAAAATTACGTCATATTTATTTTATGTATTAAATTATTACAAATAACATACACAGTAGTGTTGCCTCTAGTTATAAAATGTTAATTTACATAGACAAAATTAAAAATAATTTTTATACATTTTAATAATGATAGCATAATAAATTTATATCTTTATTTTAAAAGTGGTTAATTCAAAAATATACTAAGTTATTTTGATTTTCTAAATGCATATTTATATATTTTCTTAATTTATCAATTATTACTTTTTCAGTCCATTCTTTATAATTTCATAGGGTAATCAATTTAATTGTTTTATATTTATTATATAAATTATGAAGTATTAAATCTAATCTAACCAAAATTTCCGAGAATGGACTAATGATATCATTAAACCAAGTATAGAATTTAACCAAAAAAAAACGGAGCCCTTATTAAATGAACAAATTGAAATCGCTACCTGAATGAAATCCGCTGTATTCTTGAAAAAATGAAACCTAATAAAAATAAGGGTAAAGATTTCAGTTTCAATAAATTTCGTGTTCAATAATGCCGTTTAAATCACCAGGCGATTATTAACCGAGTCAATTAAATGATTTCATATTTGAATGCGATTTGTAACACTACTATTATTGTCAATGTACATTATATACTTTTAAGTAAAAATATGTATTATTCATTGGAAATATTTTATATTATTTCTGAGTTTTAACTAATATAAATAGTTATTTGGTGGTCGATATGTTATCAGTGACGGACGTAATAAAAATCATTGGTGATAATGGATACGGTCATTTCGCGCGACCTTTTCGCCGCCAACCCATTTTGTATTTGATAGATAAAGATACTGTTTTTAATTCACAGAATTACAATTGGTAGAAAAGAAACAAATGAATCACTGATCTAATTTTAGTTATCAAACATTAAACTGGTATTTACGAGTTCTTTATACGTGGATCAATCGTCAGTGTCCGTAAATTTTTCATAAGATAAAGAAATTACCTTGTAATATTTATCTTTCCAGTAAATTTTTCCATTAGGTCAATGCATTATTGTTGTCAATCGCGGTTGCTCATAATAATATGTTACTATTTTCTGAAAATGAGTTTGTGTTAAATTAAAAATCAAGTATTATTATAATTCTAATAAATTGTTTAATAAAATGATCATTGAACCCGACATTTTCATAAGTTATTGATGTTGTGTATCTTTCTGGCAGTAGCATATTGAAAAATTGTGTATGAAGAGTCAAGATAGCTTTACAAATTTAGAGTAATTCAGTGAGAGGAGAATCGTCTGGATCCCATGCAGGGTCATACCAATTTAAATAAAACTCCTCAAAATGAACATATAGGCAATACAACGTGCGACAGAATGCGTTGTAACTACAGAAAATATCAGATTTTACAAAAAAAAAAAAAATGAAATCTTGAAAATATATTATTTCAATAGTAAATTTTACGTAGAATCAGTGGGTTGTCGTCTTCATAAGGGACTACCTGGGCAGCTATTGCTAAGAGAAAAACGCTCCTGAGCTTTTAGGACTTCATAGCCTCCGAAAGCGTTTATGCATATTCTTTAAATTTTTTCAAAAAATGAGATATCTAAGGGCCATAGTCGTGATGTTACCTGAAATATTAAAATTGATACAATAAAATTTTAAATTAACTTAACTTATTAACTTGTCTATGCCCAGAGTTGATTATAATAAATATAATTAAAATTGTTTATGTTTATTGCAATCTTAGATAAAACGTTTTTTTTTACTACCTAACATTATACAAATGATAATTGTTTAAAAAAAATCGTATGACCAAGATTAGTGAAATAAATGATCAACTTAGTCTAATTTATGGAATAACTTTTATAATGAGCTTCATTTTATAATGCGTAACATTATTTAAGTTACTTATCTTATAAATGAAATATTGATAAAGTTTTATTACCAACAGATTAAGTATACCGGTGCTAGTATGAACCCAGCTAGATCTTTGGGTCCTGCCGTTGTCTTGGGCTTTTGGAAAAATCATTGGGTGAGTTATTAGCTAAATTTTTTCTAAAAATATAAATGATAAAATTTATTTCTTTGATATTTTTCATATTTCATAGAAATAAATGTATTTAACTATTTGATATTTACTACATGTTTCTAAATTAAAACAGATTTATTGGGCTGGTCCAATCATTGGAGGTATTTTCGGAGGACTTGTTCATCACTTTGTGTTAAAACGTCATACAGAAGAAACAAGCTCTTATGATCTTTGAACTACTAATTAATGTAATGTTTGTTTTATATAAAGAAATAATTTATTATTATATTTTTAATCATGTATTTTAAAGTTTTTGATTTTTATGTTTACTTGAAATTTTCTAAAAAATGTAGTAAAATTTTGAACTATTACTTTTACTATTGAAATATATTGTATTATTCAAAATAATTTTGTCTCTGAGAGATTATACGACTCATAAGTACTTACACCAAACATTAACGCTTACATAAGTTAAACTCTTGTATTTTAGTAAAATTGTCAAGTCAGTCTTGCTATATACAGAATGCGTAACTGTATAAGATACTTTAAAAATGTATTTTAAATACAGATACAGATACTTCTTATAAGTATTTAGAATACTTTCAAATAATTTTTTTTTTATTTACTCTGACCTTTTTTTATTATTGAAATCTAAAATTATTGCAAGACTATTATTCAAATAATCTTATATACAAAAAAGAGCTTTCATTAAAAATTGACTATAAAAAATCACCCATAGACTTAAAATTTTAAATAATTTTATCTAGTGTATTAATTTTTAACATCTTCAGTTAAATTGTATCATATGTTTAGGAAACCGGGTGATATTACACATCTGAGCCAAACAAATTGGAATCCTGTTACCTTTTTACAAGAATATATAAAACAAAAATTCTACTTGTGAAAAATATATGATTTCAGTTTATATAAAATTATTCATTGCCTTATAAAAATTAAATTATAAAACTAATTAGCTAATATTGCATGGAAAATGATAGAAACAGATAAGTCAAAGTAAACATTTCAACTTATATTACAAACAAACTATAATTAAAGTATATTCATTAAAATAAATACTAAATATAATATTTATGATTGCTAATTACGACCGTTAATGACAATAGCTCAGTAAATAGTTATTATCAATTTATATTATGAATATTGAAATCCAAGCGGGCAAATTTGTACCCTCAATTACTTCTTTTCGGTGAATTAAGACATGTCTTGGACGATCAAAAATTCTGGAAGATTAAGGATTGTAAAAAGATTATTGATCTATCAGATTAAATATTACAAAATTATCTATGGCCGTACGTGGGCGATTTTAGATAGAAATTTTTTTTAAAAAAGTTAAAACCCTTCAAGTATTGTGTTTTTCAAATAAATTTGAACTAGTCATTAATTATATCATACTTTATGTTATTAGCAAATTAAATATGTATATTGCCATAAAAAAATAAAGTTAACACTCTAAAAAGGTATAAAAGGTGAATAAAAAATATATTGCATTTGATAAATCAAAAAATTTATATATAATTAAATTATGTCAAAAAGAATTTTCTTATTGCTAATAATATATATTATATTATTATTAATATCAGTATTATTTTAAGAAAAATCATGTTGTTAATATTAAAAATATTCCCATATATACAACAACGTTATAACTTTATAATTTCTCCGTAAAAATTACTAAATTATTTAATATCAATTAAAAATATTCCCATATATACAACAACGTTATAACTTTATAATTTCTCCGTAAAAATTACTAAATTATTTAATATCAATTAAAAATATTCCCATATATACAACAACGTTATAACTTTATAATTTCTCCGTAAAAATTACTAAATTATTTAATATCAATTAAAAATATTCCCATATATACAACAACGTTATAACTTTATAATTTCTCCGTAAAAATTACTAAATTATTTAATATCAATTATGTATTAAATTTAATTATTATAATAATTATTTATTCATATATTATACTTATAATGTTTAGGAATTAATATTACTTTTTGAATAATTTAATAATTGCTTTTAAAGAATTACCACTATCTATAGTTTTGCATAGAAAAAATCTTTATGATAGTGATTTTAATCACTGCTAGATATCATTTATACTTGTCCATACATCTATAAATAAGTTATTTAAATAAAGTATATTGAAACAATAAAAATAATAACAAACACTATAGATTTGCACCGAACCTTTTTTTTATAAGAAGTTATGTTTTAAAAGTTTCATAAATGCTAACTGCAAAAAAGTAGAAGCCTTATAATGTAATAAGTTTAATAACGTTATCTATATATAATTAATTTTTTATATTGAAAGGTTACAAAAAATAACTCAAATTTTGGCTATAAAGGATACATACATAACTTTTATGTCGTCTAAAAAAATAAGAAACATGGATAGCCAACCTATTTATTGAGACACCGCAATAAACGAGAGTAAAACTAGAATAGAATTGAAAAAAAATAAACATTAAATCCACTTTATTTATTCTATCGATTTTTAATAAAAACCAAACACTCTAGAGTCATGGTTTGTGAGTACGGGACAAGTGTAGATGATATCTGTTGGGTATTAAAATTACTATCATAATAAATACTTCAATATAAATTTGTAGATAGTGTTAAATTTTTAGAAAAAATTTTTGAATTCTTTCAAAAGCAAATGTTTTTGTTTTGACGGTTGATATTTCATAATAGAATAATTGTCGGGGCATATTTTTTATTTTAATGTTGTACCACATTTAAAAATTTTTAATTTGATATAATTAAAACGATGACAGATCTTCGAGAATATTTACAAAAAATTGAATGTAAAAAAATAATTAAATGAGTCGTTTATAGAAAGGTTTAGGTTTCAAATTTTTCTTGTACTAAGGCTTGTCTTCGAATATTCACAAAAAGTATACCAAAAGATTATTTATTGTCTGTAGTATATCCTATTAATATGTCTTTGGATATTTGTTATTATCAAAAATTATATCTAGTTTTAACCAATACCATTACAAAAACAAAACTTTTAAAAGTTTGAATAAAAGCTTTTAATCTATTTTGATTTTAAGTATCATACAATTATTTTTAGTAAATATTTGCTCAAGTGTTTTATATTGTAGTAACTAAAAACTAAGACTTTGGAGTAGAAAAAACATATTAAAAGATACTAGCTATAGGTTATCAAAAAAATATATGAAATATAAAAAATATTTTTTTAATGAAAAACAAAGTCAATACTAATTTTTACTGCCTATAACTCTGGGAAGGAATCGTCAAAAAAAATAATTACAACAAATAACTTTTTTGAAGTTATTTTCATGATCTCCTTGCATTAATGTTAGAGATAGGGGTTTCAAAAAGAGTACATCAAAAGAATATTAAATGTCTAAAATATTACCAATAAAAATCAATCCAATTTTAGAACTTCATAAATAACTAATGGATTTTTGCAAGTTTTGAGATTAATTTATACTTATTTTTAACTATATATGAATTGGGATCTTCTGATGTACTTGTTATTAATTACTTTATGCATTACTTGTGTTAATTATCAATGTTGGCCTAGAAAAAACTTTTAACAATAACAATTATAATAAAAGCATTGACAAAAAAAAAATTAATGCACATCAATATAAAATTTATATCTTCTCAGATTCTATCGAAACTAAACTATTATGATATTTCTTATTCAAAATTATTGATTTTTCTTCTTTTACATCTTATCACTTAAACTCAAAATTAACTTATCGATTAGGCAACTAATTAATATATAATTTTTAATAAATGATATCTACTAAATAACTAATAATTACATTATTTAAGCTAATCTATTTTTTAGTTTATTATCATTTAATTATTTTGTTAACTTCATTTAAAAAGTCACATTAATTTTCTATTAAGCTCAATAATTAAAAATTAATTGGTTTCAATAAGACTAAAAATAATGTTATAATTTTTAGTATTTTGCTAGTTTTTTTTGTAATTTTAAGTAACAAAAATTCATTGTGTTATTAATCATCAATCCATGTACACACAAATTGCAAAGGACGAATGTCAATATTTTTTGTTTTTATTTTTTGTTCTTTTGCAACTGAATGACTTTAATTATTATTATTATTTAATTTTATTGATGTGTTTAAATTCAATATTTGATAATTAAACATCATAAAATGTGACCTAACAAATTTAAAGTAATTTTTTTACTTGTACAGTATCCAAAGTACCCAAACAACAGTTATTGTCGTTAAACAATGAAATAAAATTTCGTTGTATAACTAAACATATTCATATTTTTGAGTTACCTATAGATCGTGTAAAACAAACTTTGCCGTTTTCAAGGTAAAATGTTTGCACTTCTATAAATCATACCTCCTATAGTTACTTTAAAAAACCCCTTGTAATAATTGAATTACAAAAGAAGCATATGGACATTCCCCAAATCTATTTTAGAATTCAATGTATATTGGATCTTAATCTTTCGTGTAACTTAACAAAAGACCGTTATATTCAATAGGTTGAATAGTTTTTGGGTATAATTTTGCTTGTTGTGAAAATAGATTTCACGTACATTTAACATTTTAAACTGCAAGTAATATGCTTACTTAGGGTGAACAATTACTGTTTACCTAGGATTAATATCTTAAGTAAATATTAAAAATAGTTATATAAAAGGGTCAAAGCAGATACCATGAAATTAAGGGCTAAGAGTTGCATGGAACTAACGTAACTATTTTGCAGAAATGATGATCATAATAATATCATGACACCTATAATATCTTACTCGTTTAAAACTAGAAGGAATTCATCATAGTTATAGACAAAAATATAAGCTGGCCTATATTTTTATAAGTGTTTTTGTGTTTTTTGCTAATGGAAATATACAAATTTAATATAAAATTGTCGAATTAGTGTTAGTAGCATGAATTTTTGACTTAATGAACATTTGGTGACAAATTATTAGTTCAAATTACTTTTTAGAGAAATTATTCAATCAAAATATGCGAGTATATATATTTTAGTAGTCGAAGTGAACGTGAATCTGACCTTCCATTGTTTGGCTGGTTGCCAAAAATTATAAACGATAATCATTTTAATGCCGATATGGTTTTTGGGCATATTCCCCTTATAACAAAAAGAAAAAATATTATGAAAACGTATATTTGGGCGTTATTTTGGAAATTTGACACAAATCCGCCGTTTAGCACAAAAGCAGAATGCTCACACTGTTAATCGGATACAAGGCTATTATACTCCCCCAGGCGCTATTATAAGGGTATTATACACGTTATTGTCAATACGATATGAGGGCTTTTGTTTGTCATTCCAGTAAGATATCAAAAACGAGTGCGCATTTTATGGCCACAATATTACACCCTAATAACTAATATAGT